AGACATTTTGTAGCATGGCCCAGTTCACAGTGACAATTAACTTAACAAGGAAAACAAACATATAGGGAAATTCTCTGAGAATAACAAAGAACTCATACTTCTCTTCACCTTCACAAAGGTTTCTCATCTGGCTTTCTGTACTCATTCAAAGACAGACACTTCTACAGCTAGAGTAGCATAGACCAGTCTATAGGTCTGCTTCTCCTTGATTTTATCTTCTAGATGTAGGTAACCTAAGACTGCCTTTGTTAGGGATATTGGCAGTAGCTACCTTTTCTCCTATTGCCACAGCTCAACTGCCTTGCCTTCTTCATTTTGGTCAAGTGTCTTACATTTCCTGTACTTTGTATGACTCTTAGAATAGACAAAGACATGGGTTGGGGGAACAAAAGCCTTTTCCAGGCATAGCATACATGTAAGGAACCATTCTCAAGTAAGCGACAGCTCAGTGAGTACCTTTGAGTAAAACAAAACAAGACAAAAGCAACAACCAAAAAAAAAATCTTTTCAGTGCCTACAAAAGATAGATTTTCTTATGTTCAGCAGCTAAAAGGGAAAGGGAAGAGGTGTGGTCTTATTTAGTTATTTTTTTGCTGTGAATTTGCTGAAAGTAAAAAAAAAATAGTTATGAGAATGTATTCATCCCTGTACTCAAAAAGGCAAACTATGATATTCTATGTGTGAAGAATAGATGTAACAGTGATCAGAGATAGACATTTTATCACCATAATGATAAAGAAAGAGGATTCAAGGCTTGCCTCTGACACCCACTTGCTGTGACTCTGATTGAGTCACTTAAGTTCTCAGTAGCCCCAGACAATTCTCTAAGATGAATGTAAGTTAGATATGAGTTGTCTATATGCTTTGGTGAAGCAGAATTTCTACACAGGGCTCCTTGCATCCATGAAATCACAGGTTGAGACACCCCCCCCAAAAAAAAAAGATAAAGAGTAGATATTGTTTTAAACATAGGTCTCTTGTGGGATCATGCTCCCTTGATATTTACACTCTCGTATTATAAGACATTTATTGGCACATGCAATGTGTACGTTTTTTATCTGCACCAAAATTGAAGGGATATGTAAAAAATTCTGGCAGGTAGCCCTGGTAACTGATTAAACAATTACTGAAAATGTAACGTCGAGAGCCATAATCCCCTTTAAACTTTCAGTCACTGAATATGGCTATAACTGTCCTCCTTAAGACCAGACTGTTGACTTCTTAATGTTGTAATAAAAAGTAATCTATGTCTTTCTTAAAAAAAGAAAGAAGTGGGAACTTTATATTCATCCCCATAGAAATACACAATGCTACCTACCTTCCCCTTCCACACATTCCCCTTCCCTATTACCAATAGTGACATTGGTTTGCACAACTGAAAGGTCAGTAGGGTGTAGGATTTCTGAGCCTACCATGCAGAAAGCCTGCTTTACCTTATTCTTTCTTTGACATAAAAGAGATCCCAAGTGACTCTATGGCTAGCCCTTTTAAAGATTTTTTAAAAAAGCATTTTAAAGTGTAAAGAGATTCAGGTCAAGCTTAAGCTAAACCTGAAATGAAAGAGAATCCCACCAAAAAAGAAACAGAAAAATCTTGCAGAAGAGGCCCACAGATCTATGGCACTGTGGGACAGTGAGGAAAGCACTGGCTTTATAATCAGGGTATCTACTTTCTAATTCTGGTCCTGCTATTTAATATTGATGTCACCTTGGGCAAATCCGTTAACATCCCTAAGTCTTTTGTTTCCTCATCCCTAAAAAGTGGGAGTTGGACTAAGTGAAGGTCCTTTCTAGCTCTAATATATAACCCTATGACCCTGATATTCCATCCTATCACATCCTCATTCACTGGTACCATGCTTCTGATACATACACCTTCCTAAAAACATAAAAGACAAAACAGTATATCATCAAAATTTCTGCTTCTTAATAATGATGGGGGTGTTGATGGTGGTGATAATATGAATGTACCACCCAAAAGTTCAGTATGCCTCTTTACTGGAAATACATCCTTCTCATATACAACAAAGGATTTATCCATTTTGGCAAGTTTATCTTTGAGAAGTCCATTGAATTCTGCACCAACTGCCTTATAAGGAGCAAATGCAATCTATCACTTACTGACCAGCAAAGAATCATAGATTGATAGTGTTATAAGTGATTTTAGAGAGTATTGCATCCAACCTCATTTTTGGTAAGAAGAAACAAGCTCTGAAAGTTTCTGTGACTTACTTACAATAAGTAAGAATCAAGGACTAAAAATCAAATCTTCCGACTCCCAGTCCTGTGTACTTAAGTAGATCCAGAAAACACTTCAAGATGCATTCCTATCATATGTAGTGTCTTGGAAACTTGAAATAAGCTCTCTAGGCACCAAATCCTTGTAGGATCATAAATTTCAATCTAGAAGAGACCTTTCAAGTCATCTAGTAAAACTCCTTCATTTTGGAGCAGCTAGGTGGCGCGATGGATAGAGCACTGGCCCTGGAGTCAGGAGGACCTGAGTTTAAATCCGATCTCAGACACCTAACACTTACTAGCTGTGTGACTCTGGGCAAGTCACTTAACCCCAATTGCCACACACACACGCACACACACCCCTTCATTTTATTAATGAGAAACTGAGACAGAAAAGTTAAGTGACTTGTTCAAAGTCACTTGGTACTACATCCAGGATTGGACCTATATTCTCTGGCTCCCAATCTAGGACTCTTTCCATTGATGGAATTCATACACTGTGAATGAAAGTAGAAGGTCACTTAGCAGTTGTACCAAATGGGGAGCTTTGGAGTTGATGATTTTCAAGGTCTTTTTCAGTCCTAATTTTTATGACTTTATAGATGTAATTCTGAAATTATTTGGCTTTACCTTCATCATCATGTGTCATACTTTATAGCACCTTCTTTCCTCAGATTTAAGAGGTAGAGAAGGAATTCAAACATAAGCTCACATTCTATTGCCACCACCACCACAATTATTTTCCAGCCTCATAGTGAGTGAGTGAAGACCATCTGTATTTCAAGCTTGAGGGACAAGAGGGGAAAGGGAATTGGGGGCAGTATATAGGTATAAAGGTTAGCTAGTTAAGGACTTATACAAAGTACCTGCTACTGAAGTTTTAATGATCCTAAGTGTTTTTTCATCTGAACTATGGCTTCTTCTATCTTACTAATCTCAAAAGATATTAAAATTCTTCCTTCTTTGACATATGAGGCTATCTGAAGACCATATAGTTTTTCTTTATTCGTGCCTGTGATAAACATGTAATTGGTGCCTATTTAGCCCTCATTTATATTCTCCACCATCCCCCCATTCAAAGGTTTTTGAACAAATGTCAGGCTTGGTTTTTTATTAGTGCTTGATAAGAAAGCTTGCATTACCACTCGCCCTCTCCTGCCCCCAACCTCAGATATTTTATCAAAAGGGAAAACTCATTAGTATTCATTGAAAGCAAATATAATTTTTCTATTTGGAAAATATAACAGGATGGACAGCATATCGTTTTGTAGATATGTAAATTGTAACACAGGCGATAATAATTGTTCATCTATTCACTGTGAAGAATACTGAGAGGATATTTGAAGGCATATCTATCTGAATGTCTTGTTACAGATATAGGCAGTTTGTCAGCAAGTATTCATGGAAAAATTGGGGGGAAATAACACCTTTCTTTTTAAGTGACTAGAAGATGAAGTATAAATAAGCTTCTCAAGACCAGAGATTGTTTCTATGTCTGCATCCCCAGTACCTAACACATAGAAGATGCATAATGAATCCTTGTGCATTACTTAGTTGGTTGATGTCCTATGGGTTAGTTGCATTTTTTTCACTCTTGTTGGATTCATTCATATTTCTCATAGAGAATATAAGCTCCTTTCTCATTATTTCTGTCCCCTGATTCTTTTATAGTGGATCAGATTTTGAAGATAAATTAAAGGTGTTTTACTTACCTTTTTCAAATGTTTTCCCTTATAGTTTAGAAAACACAAACTCCAAAGTAAAATATCATCATTCATTACTTGTCTGATGCCTAAGATCCAAAGAAATGGGGATCAGTAAGAAGAAGACATCGAATCTGGTTTTTGTTACTTTAGAACAGACAGAGTGTTATTTCCATTCTTGATTCAGAGTTGGCTGTTGTCCTTAGTTCTTGATGAGGAATAAAACGACATCACTATGTTAGAGTCAAGTTAAGTTTTGTCCGACTGTGACTGGTAAGACCAATAGAACCAGACTGTAGAACCATAGGGCTATAAAACCATGTTTTACAAGAAGAAAGCCTCAGAGCTTTAAAAGTATGAAACATCTCTTTCCTTAAAGGTCAAGATTACACAACTATAGTATTTGCTTGATTTAGCATTATTCTTTCTTAGATTGTTGAGAATTCATTTATTCAGGTATTTATCTATCTATTTATTTATTCTTCTCTTTAACAAATTATCTTCTACAGACATTAGTTCAGAGAAATGATTGAGAAAAGAATGGGGGGGGAAGTAGTAAACACTGTTTAAATAGTCTTTTCTGATTTATTTATAAATTTAATGATAAACACCAAGACTAAACACCCAGCGAAGTGGTCATTGTTGGCTATACCTTAAACATGAACTCAGGGGCAGCTAGGTGGCACAGTGGATGGAGTACCACCCCTGGATTCAGAAGGACATGAGTTCAAATCCAGCCTCAGATATGTAACACTTACTAGCAGTGTGACTCTGGGCAAGTCACTTAACCCCACTGCCCAACCAAAAAAATAAATAAATGATGAACTCAATTACCTTTACTAAGAATTTGTAAACTTTTGTTAAGCATGCCTCATGATCCTTTGGTTCCATCTTTTTAATATCCATTTGGTGACTTCATATCTTGCTTTTCAAAAAGCAATGTCAGAAGGATATTTTAACTGTACAGAAGTATTGATCCATCCATCTTTCTCTCTCTTTCTGTCCCTCTCCTTCTGTCCTTCTTTCCCTTTTCTCTTTCTTTTTCTTCTAAATCATACAGGTGGTCCGGCCATACCAAACCATGTCCAATCCCATGAGTAAACTCACAGTACTTAATAGTATGCACTCCCATTTCATTTTGGCTGATAATGGGACTACAGGAAAATATGGAGCAGAGGTGAAACTGCGGAGGCAGCTGGAAAAGCATATTTCACTTCAGAAGATAAACACAAGTAAGTAGCAATCTGTTATTTTTGCTTTAGTGCCTTTATAAGAAATATACTGAAAATGATTCCCACTAAACCTACCAAGCAACAGCATTATAAACAGTTGAGTAAGTATCTGGCAGAGATCATGATTTATATTAGTACTTTCCAGAACTAGAGGAAGTTATTTTTCTAGAGGATGATTGGAGGAATAAGAGCTGATTATGCAGTTAAAATTTAGCTTATTTATCCTACTTGAGAATTCCATTCCATCCAAGGTTTGTGCATGCAAACAAGCTTTTCTTTCAAAAACTATTTCTGTGTCCCATGCCCAGCCTTCTAAAGAAGAAAAGCACCCTAGGGAAAGGACTTTTATTTATTAAGCAATTTTAGTGGTGTTAACACAAAAAAAGGGCTTTTGATCTTAGCACAGATCTGGAAGTGCTAAGATTTCCCAAAGGTTTGGAATACCCTGGGGCATTACTTATTACCTGTCTTTAATAGAAACTTTGGTTTCTTCCATCTCTTAATGAGTGAGTATATATGTAAACATTAGGCTCTCTGTGAATATTTATATATGTGGTGATCATTAATTATGTGTGTTCAGTATGATGCTACCTTAAGAAGTACTGCTTTTATTACTAGAGAGAAAGCCAGTTTCTTTCTTATTGATATTCATAAGGTAAATTATTTTTCACTGAAAATAATGGGAAGAGACACAACAAAGCTAGGATTGTACCAGAGAGCATAGCAGTTATGTTTCAGCATCTTCTTTCCCAGGAAAAAAGAGATAAGCAAAGTTGAATTTATAAAACCAGAATGACATGAGAAGGTTAATAATGGAATAAAATATTCCCATGGAGAGGGTAGCTGAAGAATAGGGAGAAGAAGGAGGAAGGAGTGCCTTATTATGTGGTCCTATTTTTTTTTTAATTCAGGTAGCTTATCCAGTGATAAAATCATAGAATTTGGTGACTTGGACATAAACTATATGGACTGTATAATTTATTCCTTTCCTATACTATTTTTCTTTGTCTGTATTTTTAACAAATAATCCAATCAGTAAGCATTTATTAAATGCAAAATAATAATAAAATCTGGTATTTTGTCATGCTTTAAAATTTGCAAGGTATTTTACAAATATTTTTCTTTTATCCTCATGACAACCCTGAAAGGTAGGTGCTATCATTATTCCAGTTTTATAGATGAGGAAACTCAGGCTCAAAGAAGTTGTGGCTTGACAGGGTCACACATCTAGTTAAGTATCTGAGGCATAATTGGAACTCGGGTCTTCCTGATTCTAGGTCCAGAGTACAAGCCACCCCTGCCCTCAAGAGCCTACATTCTCTTTCAATGAGGAGACAGTTTACTGATTGATTAGATTTCTAAACCCTTAAGTTCTCGACTGTATTTGTTAGATGGGCTTTCAGATGTTCTAATAGCTTGGTATAACAGAGAGATTTGCAGTCAGAGGACCCATGTGAATCCTAACTCTAAAAGCATCTGTTAGGATTGTTACAGGGATCCATGACACGTAAAGAGTTAAGAAAGTCTGCTTTAAATCATCTGATTTTGTTCTGGCCCTTCCCCATATCTACTTACCCATTGTTCTTACTTCTTTCTATTTTATTTTTTAAATTTCATTGGGTCACCCATTAGCCTATTATTTCTATTTTTTCATTCTCTTACTCATGATTCTACCTTGTAAAGACTATTCAATCATCTCTATTATACCGTAAGACTTTATGTGAAATAATAATAATACTAGCTAGCTCTTACATCATACCACCTGTGTGCCAGGCCCTGCACTAAGTGCTCTAAAAATATTATTTCATTTGATCCTCACAACAACCCTGTGAGGTAGGTGCTGTTATTACTCACATTTTATAATTGAGGAAATGGAAGCAACCAGTGGTTAAGTGACTTGTCCAAGGTCATACAGCTAACAAGTGTCTGTGGTCAAATTTGAACTCAGGTCTTCTGACCTAAGGTCCAGTGCAATATTCACTGAGGCACACAACTGCCTGTTCACTTTTCTACAGAGCACCTTGGGATGCCAAGCCCTCGTATAAATGGAAAAGTCTAATATTAGGAAAATCTCTAGCATTCCCATATAACCTTATAATTTTTTAAGAGCAAGGAATATATAATCTGAGAAAAGCTTCAGGAAGATAGAGAATTGTACAAGACTAGATGCCAGAAGAATTTTGGTATTTAGCTTGACCTTAGATAGGAACCAAAATTCACCCCAAAGTGCTATGGTAAATTTTTGCTTCTCCAAAAAATGTTAATATCTCATTCATTTATCATACAGTAAGTAAATGTTATGCTGTCTTGTAGAATCTTACACTCATTAATTAAGTGTTGGAAATGAACCTTGATTCTGCAAGGCTATGCCAGGAGAAAGTGTGAAAGCTCTGATAGGTCTTATTGAAGTAGCAATGCTTTAAGTACAAGGTGAATGATGTCTTATATCTCTGCTATCCAAGGACCGACTTAGCTACGTTATGTCAAGTATCTATTAAGCGGTTACTATGTGCTAGGTACTATGTTTAGCTCGAAGACATAAAGAAATACAAAAAAAACATTATTACCAAAATGTTGGCCCCTAGATGATTTTTGTTTCTCTGTTAGTTTTCCTTTGTTTTGTCTTGCCACAGCCACACACTGGGAGGTAGTATTATATAGTAGATTTAGAGTCAGAGTCCTTGAGCTCAAATCCTCCGTAGGCCACTTACTACTGATGTGACCTTGGGCAAGTTACTAAACTTCTCTGAACCCCAATTTCTTCATCTATATAAAAAAAAGTTGAACTAAATGATTTCTTGCCTTTCTTCTTGCACAATAGCTGTGATTTTAGGAGAGCAGTCTGCTAAACTACAAAAAGAGATGATTCATGTTAACAAAGGGAATACGCACACCCCAAAAAAATCACTGATCCCTGGACTTTTGAGTAACATCATGTTAAATGACATAATATTATTTTATAGCTTAACATCAATTTATTCTGTAAGAGGAAATATTTGTCTTTTAGATTTGCTTCAAGAGCATCCACCTTAAGGCTTCGGTTCAGCTACCCTGATCTGTAAAATTTAGGAAGGTTAGATTTTGCTGAGATCAAGGTGTTTCCTTAATCAGATCCTGAGATATTTGCAATTTGGGAAGAGCTTTGGTGTTTTTTAAATCTCAGACACTCTACCATGTAATTGACACTGACAAACGAAGTGCTGTGACTGGTAACAGCCAACTTAGAATGTGTTCACCAATTTCTGCATCTGTCCCATTCTAGTACTGCACTCACTGTGGCATGAGAGCACAGAGAATCCCCTGGGGAGAGAACTCTCAGCTTTGAGAATGAGGTGTGACCTACCGTGCATTCGTGCCTGGCTTTTCCTAGGAGCAAAGAAAGGATTCCTGGGAAACATAAAAACCTCAGGGACAGAACTATGAAAGGAAATAGAATACATTTCCCCAAAGTAAAGTAAAATAGGGATGAGAGAGGTATTATAAGTCTAGATTCAAACCCCAATAAACAGATGGAAATTACGGTCATATTTTTCTCTTAATGACAGTATTGTTGTATTCAGATCACAATTTCAAGGAATGGAAATATAGGATTATTTATTTAGGACTGGAACAGATCAAATCTAGGGAGATTAAGGGTCTCCCCCAGGGTACCAGAATAAGCATTAGTGGGGGAATATGAACTTAGGTGATCTAGTACCACCCTTTCCCAGTACTAGGTAATTTCTTTGGGGACAAAAAATTAAGGACAATCCATAATTTATTTGCCTTTTACTTACTTTTTCATTTTCCCCCAAGAAAGTTTAAGAAATGTAAGAGAAAATTTGACTGAAATTGAATCCTAGAATCTACTTGGTATTACTGATTTAACCAGTATACAGTGAGTGAAACACCAATTTTCCCCACATCAGTGAATCTCATTCTTCTTATGTGAGATTAAATCAGGACCCACAGGACATATGGGGGCATATAGTAGTTTTCTCATTAAAGTGCCATTAATCTTGATTACTCAGTGGTGATCAGTATTATGGTAATAGCCTATAAAATACAATTATGTTTTCATATACATAAGCCAAATCAAACTGAAGGAATACCTTATTTGGGAATTAAGGGAAAATTGCCCAGAAGACACATAAACCCTTTCCTGTCATTAGCTCACCAGTTCTATCCCCTCCCACACCGACTTCCACCACTCCAGATTCAATATTTAAGCATAGTCATTTATTATGCTGGTGATTTGAAGAGGAATGGAATTCTGTCAAGCTTAAAGAATTACTTATGTAAAAATCTCTTACATCTACAACTTTCAAACCCAGAATCTGACAGTCAGGATCTTGTATAATTCTCTCTGTATATCAGGATGTTAACAGTGTCTCAATATGAAAGGAGAGATTTGGCTGTCCCATAAAATGAACTAACAATCATGGAATTTTATTGTTAGCAGAGATCTCAAAGATCATCTGGTCTAACCCTCTTATTTTACAGATGAGGAAGTTGAGTCCCAGAGCAGCTTAAGGAGACTCTCCAAGGTCTGACAAGCCTTTGGTTATTAATACTTTAAAAGCTCATGTATAAATAAACCAACTGGTAAATATCAGTTTTAAGATGCCAAAAGAATAATATTTATATCATTTTGAGTAGCATCCCTTATTTTGTTCCAGTGATGAATAAAATACAGCTGAATCATGGCATAGACCAAATGACATAGTCAGGATCACATGAGATTTAAGTTACCTGAGAACAGGAACTGTTTAAGCAGGGACTATTGTTTCTTCTTCTTTTCCTCCTCCTCCTTCTTCCTTTTCCTCCTCCTCTTCATCCTCTTCCTCTTCCTACTTCCTACTCCTTCTTCATCCTTGTGTCACCAAAATCTAGGACAAAATCAGGTAAATGGTAGGCACTCATTAAGTGCTTATTGAATTGAATTGGATAGAAATAATTAAACTTTTTAAAGGGTAGTTGTATATTGGTACCTTGACCTGCAAAATATGTTATTTGCATTT